TGTTGCTCAGGGGAGTGCTGTGCTCTCTCTCCTCTGGTAAGAAGAGGTTGACTCTTCTCCACCTCTCCTTGCCTCTTCGTCCTTGCCTCTTCCTTCCCTTGTACTGCCACACCACTAAGAGGGAGCATCTGTGTTCCCTTCCCTCACTCCCAGCCCAGACCTACCATGCCTGAGGGGTGTGAACTCCCACCACAGCAGTGGCAAGCAACTGGGACAGCTCACACCAGGTGCACCGTGGACATTAGGCAGACAATGGGGAGAAGAGAGGCAAAAGTATGTTTTAAGTTGGCAACACACTGTGAAAGGCTGTGCCAAGTGAGCCAAGCAAATATGGGGAGAGCACAGCATAGACTCAATGAATTTGGAGAGCTGGGAGGAACATGAAAGGTCCACTATGAGGAAGTGCCATAAAGAGATTGGCATGGCTTGGTCTTCATATGAGTACATGGCAGGGTACCCTCAACCCTCAACCCTCACCAGTGCTTTCTGGATTGTACCGTTCCAGTGAAAACATACACAATAGCAAATCTTCATCACTATTTGGATTCACTGTTGGGATTTTTTTTAAATTATGTAGGTATTTTCCATGTGTGGTGAATCCCATTTTAAATCTCTGAGTAACAAAATGGCCTCCATTTGGAAAGGAAGTCTCTCCTCCAGCCAGGCCTAGCTGTGTCATGTCACCTGGGTATCCTACACAGACTCAGGAAGCTTTTTAGATTTGTTATACAGGGTACATGGGCACCTTGCTCTAATAGCTGATATTACTGTCATTTGGGTACGAATGTTAATCTGATGGAGGACATGAAAGCTCTGCAAAGGGATCTGGACAGGCTGGATCAATGGGCTAAGGACAACTGCATGAGGTTCAACAAAGTGAAGTTGTGCACTCTGGTCACAAAACCCCATGCCATGCTATTTGCTTGGAGCAAGAGTGTCTGCAAAGCTGCATGGCAGAAAAGGATCTGGGCGTGTAAGTTGACAGCAACAGAACATGAGCTAGCAGTGTGAACAGGTGACAGAAGGCAAATGATAACCTGGCCTGTATCAGAAATAGTGTGGCCAGCAGGACTAGGGAACTGATCATCTCCCTCCCCAGTACTCAGCACTGGTATGGCCACACCTCCAATTTTGGGTCCTTCGCTTAAAGAAAAACATTGAGGTGCTTGAGCGTGTCCAGAGAAGGGCAATGAAGGTGGTGAAGGGGTTGACACCTAAGCACTATGAGGACTGGCTGAGGGAGCTGGGGTTGTTTAGTCTGGAATAAAAAAGGCTCAGAAGGATATTATTGCCCTCTACAACTACCTGAAAGGACGTTGTGGCAAGGTGGGGCTTGGCCTCCTCTCTCGGGCAGCTCTTGACAGGATAAGGGGAAACGGCCTCAAGTTGCACCAGGGGAGGTTCAGGTTGGATATCAGGAAAAATCTCTTCACTGAAGGAGTGGTTAAGTGTTGGAACAGGCTGCCCAAAGAAGTAGTGGAGTCACTGTACCTAGAAGTGTTCAAAAAATGAGTAGATGTGGCACTTCGTGATACGGTTTAATGGGCATGGTGTGTTCGGTCAAAGGTGGGACTTGATGGTCTGGGAGGTCTTTTCCAACATTATAATTCTATGATTCTATATTTGAATATCTCATGACATTTTTCTACAGATGTACCATTCTTTGTAGAAGACGGGAATGAAAAGTACCTCCACCACTCAAACTCAAGCAGTTTTCAATGCAGTTTGCATTCACTGTATGTAACAGTTCCCCATCCTGTGGTGCCTGTTTCATCTGTAAATCTCTCTGGAGATGACAGGCAATGATTTACTAACACGTGTACAATTGCAATGTCAAATTCCAGCTCTTGAAATACAAAACTTAGCTCTGTGATATATGGCAAGACATGTAAAAGTACACACACCACTTCTACAAAATCTGCCTGGGACCAGTCCTTTATGGACTCAAGTATCAGGGTCCTTCATCAATGCAAACTATTAATGGCTGAAGTTTTTAATGCAGAATTCTCTCTATTGTATAATGTTGACCAGTTGTGAACTTGTTTTATATTCACTGCTGACGCACCTGGTAAATCCTGAATCTTTTCTTTTTGGGAAATTCAGGAGTAATTGGGAGAAATTCCAGATAAAAGACTTTTTCAGTTAAAAAAAAAAAAAAAAAGAAACTGAATCAGCTGTAAAAGATTCAGAAGTACTGATCTCTGGACACCAGAATTGTAATTTATTAACATACTGTTTGACATCCTGAAAATTCATGTAAGTCATAACAGTCCTCAGTATAACTGAAAGTTAAGCAACACAAAATCTATTTATTGGAACAAATTCTTGGTCAGTCAAGCAATGTTATGAAAGGGTGATAGGATGATGCATGCATCCCACTACAAAATTCCTTAAATTTCTGTAGGAGTAACAGCCAAGGCATTAACTGATTATGTTAAACTCTTTCTTTCCTACTCTGTCTGTTCCTCCAAGCAGTAGCTGTCGGGTCTTAAGATTCATAGTCGACTTTTTTCAGTAGTGTCCTTGGAATGAAAAATTATCTTTGGCAAGAATGTCAGAAGACAAACACAAACCATTGGCATTTATTATAGCTTTTCATATAGTTATGCAGTTATATGGTAAGCATTTTCACTGCTGTTCCTACAGTCTGTTCCAAGAATCTCTGGAGTTTGAAAAACAGGCTTTTGGGTTTTTTCCTACTGGGTTTTTTCTGAGGAATCAATTCTAATTCCCTGGGAACCTAATAATCCTTGGCTTTCTCAGTTAACAACAGGAACAATAGCTGATGTTACAAGATTTATGATGATCCAAGATTTTTTTTAACTCCTTCCCTAAGCTGTTTCTTTGTCTTTTAACCCATCTCCCACCAATTATTATGTAAGTTGGGACTCAGGTTTGGTATAATCTATATTTAAAAGAATGGTGGAGGTATTAAGGGTTACCACCTCTCTTTGTGTTTTGTGCTAGGCAGGTGAAACCCAAGGGAGAGGTAGGAGGAACTGATACATTGCACATTTTCTTTGTCAGCAAATGGCTCAAAGCCAGCCAGGCTCAGGACCAGATGCAGACCTTGGGGACATCTAGGGCTATTTCTGGGAGAAGAGATAGTACTTAGGGGTACAAATATATAGATCCACGAGAAATCGCACTTACTCTATTTATTCTGTACCTCTTGGAAAACCTTTTCTAGCTCTGTTTTTCACTAAAAGGTTGATGTATCTGCTAGATGTGATTTTTGTCTCTCCTCCATTTTTATGTGCCTATCTAGCATTTGGAAAGTAAAATCTAGTACTTGCAAAGTAAAATCTTCCTTCATCATTACACAGTAGTAACTCTGAATTTTGTATTATCATGTTTAGTTTTCTTTCAGTGGCACTTCTCTCAGCTTTCTCATTATTCCTAAGATACCTCGACAAGGAAAGGCTGTGCTGGAACCAGCAAATGTTACTGCATGTCTGAAACTCTACCTGAGAGTTGGTGCTTACTCTCAGTCCTCAAAACCTTCCAGTTTTCCTGCCATGCAAACTTTGATTTTATCTCAGAAATCAGCATTCAGTACTTTTGACAGCTTCATGACTTTCGAATATAATTCAATTAACCATAGACACTTTTCTCTGTCATACTCAGAATGAACACCCCTCTCCAGATTTAGCTACGATTTCTGCAGGTATTCATTACCACAGATCAGTTGTTTGTTTATTCTCTTCAGAAGCAATTATGTGTATCATATTGAATTGCCCTGTATCTTATGTAAATGCTTCTTCCAAGTGGAACGAAATACTACTTCTCATTTGATTACATTTTTCTTTTCCTAGATGACTAGTTTACATGTCAGCAGTTACTTCTTTTCTCTGTGCTACTAGGATAATCACTCACTCTTCTATTAGTAAAATGCTCATCTTAATAAATTCTTTCCTAAAGTGCTGATATTGTACCCGTTCGTGCTCTAAATCTCCCCTTTCTTCTAACCATCCTTGCACAATTTCTGTTTGTGCTAAAAAAAAAAACTATGTAAGCCCCAGTGTGAAATTCTGTTAATTTTGAAATTATAAAAGCAGCATGCTTCACTACATAAGTTTCATACCCATCGATATCTCTTTCATGTAGTATTGATCTGTTTATCACCCTACACAAGAAATCCATATTTCCTCCCTTATTTATATTCTACAGAAAAATCGTATCCCTCTAGCTTCAGCATCAGATGTACAACTTTAGCTGATGGTAAACGGAAAAGTTTCTACAATGTGAGCAAATCTGGAAGTCTTGCAGGCTTGATAGGTACACTTAAAACAACTAAAATGGAACCTGATCTAACTAATTCCTTTTCAAAGTCAAAATATTTTCTTCCACAGCAAAAGAGATCTCAGGGAATATACAACTGATTTCTTGAGAACACTCAGATCTGTATTTCTGGAAGATGCCTTTGCTGAAAATATACCTGACTGGTGCAGACCCTTTTCATTTGCTATTTGCCAGTGTGTTAAGTAAGTCTTTCATCTGATTCTGAATAGCAACAAAACTCCTAATACAGCATGTGATGTCTCCATTCTATACAAGGATGTGAAGAATTAATTTATTAAACGTGCTTATGAACATACAGTTCTTAAGATGGATCAGGTAAGTAAGCTCACCCTTCCAGTAGACTATACGGAAGGGCAAATATTCTTAGCAGAAAAAAAAATGGGGAGGCAGGGTCGCTTAACGCTTCCAGTACTGGTTTAAATACCATGGGAGACTGTCACTAAGATAACAAAGAGCCCTGCACAGAAAAATCTGTTTCAATTTTACTTTTGTGAGGAGATTTTTATTTTCACAAGCAAAAGTTTTTGAGCACCAGGGGGTTTAGTTGCTGATAAAGTACAGAGAAGCTTTTAAAGCTGCTTTAGTTCCTTGGATTCTATGGTCAAGTGACCATCCTTGAATGAAGGTGATTCAAAACAGTTTCTGTGGTGCTGTCTTTGTGGTGGGAAACAACTTAGCTACAAAGCATCAAGGCCAGCTTCAGGACAGGCAGGGAAGCAAGGGAGAGGATGTACAAAACTAACAAATCAGAGAAAAAGATTCCTCTTACCCGTAGCGCTTTGTTATTTTTTCTTCACAGCATGCAGAGAGCATCCAGCAGACCTAAGAGAAGAGATGCTGCTCCAGGCAGTCCCCAGTGCAGTTGACTTTAGATCAGATCTATATCTGCAACACTAGTCCAAGTCCCATCTTCTTCTTAAGATCAGAAATGCATTTCAACAAAATCAAATATTCAATGAGCCGTTTGTAACTGCCCAAAGCACACAGGTGTTATTGTCCCTTGGTGTACTTGGCTGGATAAGACCCTACTACACAGCCAAGTTGCTGCCCAAGGTTTAGCATCTGCAAAACAGATTGAAAGTATAATTAATATCAACACAGATAGAGGCAGAGATTATTCTGAATAAGGTACAAACTTGTACTTACCATCTAAAGGAAGAGGAACTTCTAATATAGACGCTCAACCTCACAACTCAGACAAATTCAGGAAGTCAGAGAGAATTTTATAATACATTTCACTTTACCTTTTCTTTCCTCTGGTACAACAGAAAAAGTAGTTACAGGCAGCTGGTCACATCTTTTGGAGGGTAATTCAAATCTCAGTGTTCTGATAGAATACCAAGTCTTTGGTTCTGTAAAATCCAAAATATACAAAACGGTCTTTGGGAACTAGCTCTTCCTCTGTAATTCCATGGAGAATCTAATGTGAATATCATTTTCTGCTGTGTTTTCAGCCTATTCAAAGCGGCCTTGTTCTAATGCAAAAAAGTCTTAAGCAGAAGTGAAACTTACTGGTCTATTTTCAGCATTCATGCCCCAAGATGAGTGAAAAGCCAAACACTGCTAATGATGACAAGTAAATAATTTTCATTCTTTTAGTAGTAGCTGGTAACTTGAACATTTTATTGTGATTTTTTATAGTGATGGCATCCTCTTGAAATAAAATAATAGCTTAATTAAGAATGTAAATGCATCTATAAATATATGCATAAAAATTCAATGGCCCGATATTTCTGTCTGAGTAGGAAGTAAGGAGAAAAAAATGTACAGCAAGAGGTTAATCTGTCCTATTTTGTTAAGTTGCTTCAAGATGGAGGAAAAGGAAAGGGGATTGCAACCATCGTATAGAGCGTGCACTTGTATCAAACCCATTGGACAAAAAAATGCGTGTAAAAGAGTTTGTTGAACCAGATCCTCATAGAGCTGGAGCTTTAGTCAGCTCATTTGATGTGAGAGGAGTGGTGGATGAGGGTGGAAAGAATGAAAGGGCTTTTTGAGTAATCAGAGTTTAAGCTTACAGGAAACAAATACTGACTTGCTAGAGGTCACTTCATTTCCATATGGTAGGTGTTCCTCGTGGAGGAGTCACAGTCTAAGCTGTGGACAGTGGACAGCAAAGGAATGGAGAGTTGCTTCCAGTAACCAGAACTCCAGGGATAATCTAAGTGATGATGCAAAACTTTATATGAGCAAGCAAACACAGGTGTTTGCATCTACCTAGGTATCTGAAGGTTTTGTGAGAGATCAGTTAGAGCTTGGAATTGGAAATAAAATATAAATGTAGGTAAACCTGCACATCATTATCATAACTGAACTGGAGATGAATTCTGAAAAGGTTTTTGGACAACAGTGTGTTTGTCCTGACCTGCTGGAGAGAAAAGAGAGAGAGAGGCTTACAGGAGAAGAATTCCTGGTAAGTAAATAGATGGGGAGGTTTCAGATGTGAAGCAAAGGTAACTTGACAACACAGAGAACAAACCTCTCAAGCTCTAGTTAAGTACTCTTATGCTTAGAAAAAAACATAAATTTACTAGCAAAACATAGAGTTGAAAAACATTATGACCTCATGTACCCAAACTAGGCCACAGCTGCATCCAGAATCAGGAGTCTGTTCAAACTCAGGTCCAGAGATAATCCTTCTTATTCCTGTTCAACATGTAAAAATAATTCCAAATTATTTTTTAAAGACTCTCACATTTAGAATTAAATCAGTGCCAAAATAAGACTGCAACTAGAAAACCTTAGAGGTTTTTATTTTTCAGATATCTGCAGTATAGACACAAGGCAAGAAATGTCACAGCATGCTTCCTTGTCTCAGAGATGGGAAACTGCTCGTGAGCTATATTTAGTCTCAGCCTTGGACATATTAAGTGCACAAACACAAAAAGTCCGTTTACTGACAGAAAAGCTCTCAGATGCACTGTGGTGTTCTTCTACCCCAGTATACACATACCTCTGGTCTCTGCTGCACTTTGCTGCCTTTGTACAGCAAGTTGCAGTACCTTCCTACAAACTCTTCAGTCTGCTGCTTTCCTGTGTTTGCCCTCCACTGAAAAAGATGGAAGTGTTTCACAGCTTTGAAAATGACAGAAGAAGGAATGGCATCTCCAGGATACCTCACCAGGAAAGCTCAGGCTTTCCCTGCCACTGAAATAGAAAATAGGAATTTTGAGCTGATGCATCCCTGCCATACTTTCTTGACATAGCATGGACTTCCCATTTCTTTCAAAGGGCAGAGAAGCAACTGGGAGATTCCTGTCTCACCATGTCAAAACAGCACCTACAAATCTTGTAAGAAGTACTGAAGTCTCCTGAGTGCTCTCTGCCTCCTTAGTGTTGAGAAAGTTTCCGATGTCCTCTGAGTTCCAAGGCAAGATAATGGCATAGGGAACATTTAAGCAAATATCTCCCAGTTCACTACAATTATTCTGGCTGCTCCTGATGCTGCTCCCAAGCAAGATGGCTTGAATCTCAGATTGGTGCTTGTAGTTTTACTGAATACATCTGCCTAGCTCTTCCCCAGGGTTTTCCATTTGGCCCTCAGGATGGCAAATCCCCACATCAGCCTTATTCAGCCTTCTCACTGATCTGGACAGGTCACTGTAAGAGCATGAAGGAAGCTTATTCTCCAAGATTTGTTAAGCTTCTGGCCTCTGTCAGGGGCTAATATATGATTAATTAATACCACCTTTGATGATGGATTTCAATTTAGAATTTGGGCAGTGACTAGTCTGAGCACTGAGTTGTGAAAATTTAACAGAAATTTATCAATGCTTTCTCTCTTGCATTTGTCTGTCAATATGGCCCTTCTGGTCCACTCAGAGAAAGTGAACTGGTTTGCCATAGCCTGTAATTATTACTGGAGGAAGAGCAGACACCTCAGAAAGTTATGGTAATAATTCAGATCACCAACAGATTCAGTTACACCCTGGCATATGAAGCTGAAAACACAAAAACTTTCTGTGATGTGCAATCATTATCCTCCTCTGATGGTGGTATTGAAATTGTGCACAATGGCAAGAAAAGCAAAGAGCCCAAACCTACCGACTGCTGCGATAAGAGAGAAAATCCTGAAGTGAACAGGACTGCAGTGGGATTGTGACATTTTAATGACAGTTTAGAAATACAAAAATGTCTGAAGTGGAGATAGTGAGTCTTCTATTCATTCTCTTTCCGTGTGAATAGCAGTCACCTGTTGGAAGCATAAGGTGAAATTCATCCTCTTTGTTGAGAGAGATTTAAGAAACTATTTTAAATCAGAAATCATTTTTATCTGAAAATAATGTAGTGTGGTTTAGTTTCGCTTCTATAAAGTTCTGTCCATAATCAGTAATACAAACATTGCACATGACCCTGCTTTCTTAAGCTATTTTTTCCCTGAAGTTCACAGGATCTGAGCCATACCTAATGACTCAAACCCCCCCCCAAATAATGTCTTCCTAAATTTTTAAGATTCTCCAGTAGATCTCATGATGTAACACTAGAAATGCTGTCAATCTGACACAAAACTTTCAATACAAAATTGTAGCTATCTGACTAAATTTGTAACTATTGTTTTGCAATTGAAATTGATAGAAGTACGAAGGTAGATCAATGGAGAGAGAAAGGGAGAAAAAGAGAGAGAGTTCCTGAGTATAGCTGAGGAAGGTTTAGAATGGAGAGATCACAGCTAGACTAAGAAAGTAAGTTGTGTTAAAAATGTGATGTTTCAGTCAGTGCAGCCTCTAGGCTGCCTTCAGGACTCGTTAAAAATAGTTTTCATCACTTCCACTGGGACTTCGGGAAGCTAAGAGCTTTGAAAAATCTTTTTAAAAGTATATCTTATATTCAGGCAAAATGTAGTTTTGTGAAATTAGCAGAAGAGGAGGCTGTAGAGTAGAGGGTATTTCACAGAGTGCCAAAGGAAGGAAATTAAATATGTATGGCTGGGTTTTGAGAGGGATCTATAGCGTAAAGGCCCATATGTGGAACATTATATTTACCTCACACCAAATCATATGACAAGACTGCTTGGTTTAGTTCAGGAAACAAAAGGTTTTGTAATATGTTTGCTTGATATGCTTGAGTTGCATAAAATAATAAAACTGAGATAACAGTACCCAGTCTATAATTATTAGAAGGAATCAGACAAGTGGCACTAAATCTGCAAATAGGTAAAATCCATCAGTCAGGCCAAAATGGGCTGGTTTTCATCCTTGAGAAGTAATCCTTTGGACCACACTCATCCTGGCCCACGCTGAAGGTCCTACAAACAACTGTTATACACCAGGGGCTAGAAATCTGGACAAGATGTCCACTTCATTTCCAGCCTTCCTCATGGAATCATAGAAGGTTTGGGTTGAGAGGGACATTAAAGATCACTTAATTCAAACCCCTGTGCCATGGGCAGGGACAACTTTCACTAGAGCAGGTTGCTCAAAGTCCTATCCAACCTGGCCTTGAGCACTTTCAGGGATGGGGCATCCACAACTCTGTGGAGCAGTCCGCTCCAGTGTCTCACCACACCCTCACAGTACAGAATTTCTTCCTAATATCTAATCTAAACCTACTCTCCTTCAGCTTAATACCATTATGTCTTGTTCTATCACTAGACTCCCTGATAAGCAAACCGTCCTCATCCTTCTTGTGGGTCCACTTTAGGTACTGGAGGGCTGGTGTAAGGCTTCCCTGGAGCCTTCTCTTCTCCAGGCTGAACAACCCTAACTCTCTCAGTCTTTCTTCACCAGAGAGGTGCTCTAGCCCTCTGTTCATCTTCATGGCCCTACTCTGGACCTGCTCAAATGGGTCCATGTCCTTGTTATGTTGGGGACCCCAGAGCTGCATGCAGTACTCTAGGTGAGGTCTCACAAGACCAAAGTGGAAGGAGAGAATTCCTCAGTCTGCTGGCCACGCTTCCTTTGGTGCAGCCCAGGATGCAGCTGGTTTTCTGTGCTGTGAGCACACATTGCTGTGTCATGTTGAGCTTCTCATCAACCAATCCCCCAGTCCTTCTCCTGAGAGCTACTCTCAGTCAGTTCTCTGACCAGCCTGTATTTGCATCTGCAATTGGCCAGGTGCAGGATCTTGCACTTGGCTTTGTTGAACTTCATGAGGTTCGACAGGCCCACCTTTCAAGCCTGTCAAGTTCCCTCTGGATGGCATCCCTTTCCTACAGCACGTCAACTGCACCACACAGCTTGGTGTTGTCGGCAAACTTGCTGAGGGTACGCTCAGCCCCACTGTCCATGTCACTGACAAAGAGACTAAACAGTACCAGTCCCAATACAGACCCCTGAGGAAAGCATCAAACAGCTCTCAATCCAGGCTATCTTAATCTTGAAAAAAAAAAAGAACCGAGGCAGTGGCCCCCAAGCCAAAATGGCATCAGATTCACAGTCTGAAGTCTAATCTAACAGGTGTGATATATGCTTGAACTCCAGTTGTCAGCAGATGAACAGCCTAGTTGGAATTTTGAGACTTCATAGTGTCTCAAGTCTCACAAGTGTTCCCATCACAGTGGCCTCAACTACACGTTTCCAGTTGCAAGAGATCCTATGTGAGAAATATTGAGGTTTTGGGGAAACAGATCCCATGTTTGATCAAACTTGCTCTAAGTCTATGGATGAAATTTTAACATATTTTGACTGAATACATCCCTTAGACAAGGGATTAACTTAGATTTGGTTAAAAAGGGCTATGGTCTAGAAACAGCTACAGATGTGGTTCTCCCTGGGTTCAATATTAGACCCTTTTGAAGGCTCCATTTTGTCTCCAGGCTCCTTCAAAATCAGACCCCTATGTGCATAGGACCAAAAAGGGAGTATGTGTACATTTGCTTGATTTTGAGGGACAAGCTCTAGACTTTGAAAATATTATGGCCAGAGACCTGTACAGTTTCATCAGAACAGAGAAGCTGCAGAGATGAGATAAGTAATCTTTAATCAGTGTCTGCCTGTACAACTCAGTGTACCAAGCAGTGCCAGTAGCTTCCTGAGCTTATAAGTCATTCAAAAATTAATGGAAGTTTAATAGTACAATAAACGTGATAAACGGATTACACATTCCAGGAGAAACACCATCACTGTGTACCACAATCTTTTAAGGTCTGCCTTCCATTCTAGTCTACTGTATAATGTTGTTATCAACTCTTCCTCAGATCATTCTCTTCTCTTCCAAATAGCCTATATTCTATTGATAAAGCTAATATTGCTAATAATACATTGATGGACTAATAAATTTACCACATGGGATTTAAACAAAATTCCTCTTTACACACCCAAAAAGGTTAGAGGAAGAGTATTCATGGCTTCAAACATTCATATTTTATTCCCCTTTGCCTTGATGAAATACATTATATCTTCTTTACAGCATATGAATGAGAACAGGTACCTCCCCATGCAAGAGAGAATGTAAAGAAAATACACTTCTGCCTTCAGAAGCTGAGCATCAAAATAACCAAAACAATACTGGGATTCTGTTTGGAAAACTGCAGTCCAGAGTTTTTCAGTTTACCACAGGGATTTAGCAGACTCAGCCTAAGATGGACACCTCTAGCAGGTTCTCAAGTGTTAGTACTAATATTGGTTTGCTCTGGGGCACTGTTGAAACTATGTCAGCTACTAAATATAAGTAATTACACTTTTTGTAAGGATCTGGGATCCTATTTGCATTTCACTGGCTCACTGGAAAAGAGTCTTACTTAAGAACTGGATGCAGTGACCTGGTGTGAGGGAGCAGAAGAGAGCTGCTCTCCAAGGGAAGGTGATCTGGGAGCCGAGGGTGAGAGCAAGGCATCAAGGCAGTGCCCTCACCAAAAAGGGTGCAGTCCAATCCTACACAAGCAGGTCTGGAGACACTAAGCATGGTCAGCAGAAAATCCAGTGCTTACCAGACAAGTCTTCAGGGGTGTAACAGATCAAAGGCAACCCAGAGATTGAGATCAGAGGATCTGTCTCAGGAAAGTACATAGCCAGACTACATAACTTCAGTGTAACTCAGGCAAGGACTGAGGTAGGGCTTGAGCCTGAGTAGATGTTCTTCATAGCCCAGTGGCCCAGTCTTACAAAGCTTCTTTCAGATCAGCCTCGCCCCTGCATGAATCAGGGCTGACCATGCTCATAGGCAGTCAAAGCCCTTGAAGAGGACAAAGGCTGTCCCCCGGGATCTGACAACGAAGCCCAGGAGGGTTGATAAGAGACAGTTTGCTTATCTACAAGGGTTGCAAGTATGTTTGACAGAGATAAAAATCATTTCTTTTGAGTTCCTCATTCACCTTAAAGCAGATTTATCAGTTAAGCTTGCACTGACAAAGTTACTGTAATGGTCAATCCCCAAGTAATCCACTTTGGTAGGAACTTTTGTTTAATCACAGAAAAAAAGTGTGTAGTGGTAGCTCTTCCTTTTAGCTAGATGTTTATGAGTTATAAATATATATGGGTTATGTTATACCTGAGATAACTGATAACCCAGACAGCAATAGCTGGAAATAGTGGCATTACAGGACTTCCAGATTCAGTTAGAATAATAGTAATTTTAATACTTGCCTGGTTCCACATTTGCACAATTAACTGCCTGTTCTCTGATATCTTAAAGCAGCGCAGTTCAGTTTCACCAGCAACACAGGACAGATGGCAGCTTCACAGGCCACACAGGGGTTGCAAGTGTGGAGCCCCTCTCCTACATGAGAGGAAGCATGTCTGCACCCTGGCTTTCTTTTCCCATGGAAAATCAGTCTTAAAGCCCCTGACTTCTACAAGCACAAGCTGAGATGTTCAGCTGATTGGGCAAAGAGTACACACTATCAAACACACACTTGTCTCCTCTCAGGAAGCAGAGATGGGCTAGGTGTATTGCATGCTTCCCAGACTGCCAGCTGGACCATGCTGAATTCAAAGAAGAAATCCTCATAATGCTTGTTTATGAGTCCCTTTGGATTGCAAGATGTAGTGAGCAACTAATTCTGACAGTAGAATGTTATATTCCTCATGGCTATTGGTTAGCTCATCACTTTCTTTAAAAAAAACCTAATTAAATATTTCATAAGGAATCTTGGTTGACAGTCAGAAAGTAAGATATATTCTTTTTTATTAAATTTGGGAGTGGCAATTTACGGGGGGGGTCATCTTTTGAAACTGAATATTTGAACTTATACTTGTTTTGATCAGTTCTGGTATGGGGTTTATTTCCTTTAAGCATGTTCCTCTTATGTTGTTC